TAATAATCATTCCACTGATACAGTAATAATCATTCCACTGATACAGTAATAATCATTCCACTGATACAGTAATAATCATTCCGCTGATACAGTAATAATCATTCCACTGATACAGTAATAATCATTCCACTGATACAGTAATAAAACATTCCACTGATACAGTAATAATCATTCCACTGATACAGTAATAATCATTCCACTGATACAGTAATAATCATTCCACTGATACAGTAATAATCATTCCACTGATACAGTAATAATCATTCCACTGATACAGTAATAATCATTCCACTGATACAGTAATAATCATTCCACTGATACAGTAATAATCATTCCACTGATACATAATAATCATTCCGCTGATACAGTAATAATCATTCCACTGATACAGTAATAATCATTCCACTGAAAACAGTAATAATCATTCCACTGATACAGTAATAATCATTCCACTGATACAGTAATAATCATTCCACTGATACAGTAATAATCATTCCACTGATACAGTAATAATCATTCCACTGATACAGTAATAATCATTCCACTGATACAGTAATGTTTTTAGATTTATTCTTCTCTTTCTCCCAAGGAAGAAGATAATATATATTTGCCAACTTCTCGTGATTGTTTTATGTCAGGTGGTGCGAGCCGGCAGACAGATGTTAGACAGATGGTGCCTGACTTTCTCCGTGTGTACTAACACGCATACCACGCACCACGCTTAATTAAGCCAGAAAAACACCCAGGTACACCCAGGTACCTTCTTACTGCTAGGTGAACAGGGACAGCAGGTGTAAGGTGACTAACACCCAGGTACCTACTTACTGCTAGGTGAACAGGGACAGCAGGTGTAAGGTGGCTAACACCCAGGTACCTTCTTACTGCTAGGTGAACAGGGACAGCAGGTGTAAGGTGACTAACACCCAGGTACCTTCTTACTGCTAGGTGAACAGGGATAGCAGGTGTAAGGTGACTAACACCCAGGTACCTTCTTACTGCTAGGTGAACAGGGACAGCAGGTGTAAGGTGGCTAACACCCAGGTACCTTCTTACTGCTAGGTGAACAGGGACAACAGGTGTAAGGTGACTAACACCCAGGTACCTACTTACTGCTAGGTGAACAGGTACAGCAGGTGTAAGGTGGCTAATACCCAGGTACCTTCTTACTGCTAGGTGAACAGGGACAGCAGGTGTAAGGTGACTAACACCCAGGTACCTTCTTACTGCTAGGTGAACAGGGATAGCAGGTGTAAGGTGACTAACACCCAGGTACCTACTTACTGCTAGGTGAACAGAGACAACAGGTGTAAGGTGACTGACACCCAGGTACCTACTTACTGCTAGGTGAACAGTATTTTATACCATTTTAATGTTCATTCTGTCAGACACTGCAACACAAGGGTATCTTGGTACAGACCATCAACTTCGACCTCTACTAGTGAGAACGGCTGGGTTTGAGAGGGACCTGCCCTCCCAAAGCAACCTACGTCTCACCTCCTGGCACTATATAAAGGCTCCATCCTGTCACTTCAACTTCATATTGTTTCAGACAACGGAACAATGCTCTTCTCCAGACTGAGGGACTGACCACCTCAAAACTTTAAGGGTGATGGACTGATTACATCGTCTTCAAGTATCTTCTGCTTCTATCAACTTTTCTGTACTCGACTGAAGAAGCCTACTGTGTAGGCGAAACGTTTCGAAATAAAGATACCTAACTGTTGCATATGTGTCTTACCTAACAATCTGTCGGTATTTTATACCATTTTAATGTTCAGGTGTAAGGTAACTAACACCCAGGTACTTACTTACTGCTAGGTGAACAGAGACAACAGGTGTAAGGTGACTGACACCCAGGTACCTACTTACTGCTAGGTGAACAGGGACAGCAGACGCAAGTAAACACGGACATGTCAGCGACTACATCAACTAAATGACGGTGAATGTGTTTTCTTCTACGGGTGACCCTGCCTTGGCAGGACAGTCGCTGAGCCGTATTCCATGATAGTACACTATTATTATGTGAATGGTTTCGTAGTATACTACTACTGACACAATGTGATCACATATTGGCCTGACCACTAAAACTCTCGCTTCACATGGCCTGGGTCGGCGTTCCATTCCCAGCGAGGGTAGAAACACTGGGCGTGTTTCCTTACACCGGTTGTCTATGTTCGCCCATCAGTAAAATGGGTACCTGGGTGTTAGTGGACTGGTGTGGGTCACATCCTGGGTGTTACTAGACTGGTGTGGGTCGCATCCTGGGTGTTACTAGACTGGTGTGGGTCACATCCTGGGTGTTAGTGGACTGGTGTGGGTCGCATCCTGGGTGTTAGTGGACTGGTGTGGGTCGCATCCTGGGTGTTAGTGGACTGGTGTGGGTCGCATCCTGGGTGTTAGTGGACTGGTGTGGGTCACATCCTGGGTGTTAGTGGACTGGTGTGGGTCGCATCCTGGATGTTAGTGGACTGGTGTGGGGCACATCCTGGGTGTTAGTGGACTGGTGTGGGTCACATCCTGGGTGTTAGTGGACTGGTGTGGGTCACATCCTGGGTGTTAGTGGACTGGTGTGGTCACATCCTGGGTGCTAGTGGACTGGTGTGGGTCACATCCTGGGTGTTAGTGGACTGGTGTGGGTCACATCCTGGGTGTTAGTGGACTGGTGTGGGTCACATCCTGGGTGTTAGTGGACTGGTGTGGGTCACATCCTGGGACAAAACTGACATAATTTGCGGGAAATGCTCAGCATAACAAGCGGCTTTCTATATAGCAGTATGTCACTGATGTCAGCTATGATCTGTATACCTTGTACATGTACTGGTAGTAAATTAATATATTATATTATATAACAGTGAAGGATACGAACACACTTCTCTTTTCCTCCAGAATCCACAGGCCTAAAATTTTTTACATATGAATCTTATAGTATTCAGTAAACACCGAGGCTTCCGTGGTTCAATCCCTGGTACAGATGGAACATTAGGGCGTGTTTCCTTAAGATACCTGCTGTCCCTGTTCACCTAGCAGTAAGTAGGTACCTAGGTGTTAGTCGACTGGTGTGGGTCACATCCTGGGTGTTAATGGACTGGTGTGGGTCGCATCCTGGGTGTTAGTGGACTGGTGTGGGTCACATCCTGGGTGTTAGTGGACTGGTGTGGGTCACATCCTGGGTGTTAGTGGACTGGTGTGTGTCACATCCTGGGTGTTAGTGGACTGGTGTGGGTCACATCCTGGGTGTTAGTGGACTGGTGTGGGTCGCATCCTGGGTGTTAGTGGACTGGTGTGGGTCACATCCTGGGTGTTAGTGGACTGGTGTTGGTCGCATCCTGGGTGTTAGTGGACTGGTGTGGGTCGCATCCTGGGTGTTAGTGGACTGGTGTTGGTCGCATCCTGGGTGTTAGTGGACTGGTGTGGGTCGCATCCTGGGTGTTAGTGGACTGGTGTGGGTCACATCCTGGGTGTTAGTGGACTGGTGTGGGTCACAATCCTGGGTGTTAGTGGACTGGTGTGGGTCACATCCTGGGTGTTAGTGGACTGGTGGGGTCACATCCTGGGTGTTAGTGGACTGGTGTTGGTCGCATCCTGGGTGTTGTGGACTGGTGTGGGTCGCATCCTGGGTGTTAGTGGACTGGTGTGGGTCACACCCTGGGTGTTAGTGGACTGGTGTGGGTCACATCCTGGGTGTTAGTGGACTGGTGTGGGTCACATCCTGGGTGTTAGTGGACTGGTGTGGGTCACATCCCAGGGACACAATTAGCCCAAGTTGAGGGAAATGCTCTACTTAACCAGGGACTTTGTATATAGAGTGTCGCTGATGTCATCTATGGTCTGTATAAGTTGTGTCATGTACTGGGAGACATAAAGATTTCTGTTATTTATGCTATTATTATTAAAAATACCAAGAGTAGTTTGATTTGAACGGAGGGAATGTTTATCTTGACCATCCAGTAGTTTTAACCTGACCATCCAGTAGTTTTAACCTGACCATCCAGTAGTTTTAGCATGACCATTCAGTAGTTTTAGCATGACCATTCAGTAGTTTTAACCTGACCATCCAGTAGTTTTAACCTGACCATCCAGTAGTTTTAGCATGACCATTCAGTAGTTTTAGCATGACCATTCAGTAGTTTTAACCTGACCATCCAGTAGTTTTAACCTGACCATCAGTAGTTTTAACCTGACCATCCAGTAGTTTTAACTGACCATCCAGTAGTTTTAACCTGACCATCCAGTAGTTTTAACCTGACCATTCAGTAGTTTTAACATGACCATTCAGTAGTTTTAACCTGACCATCCAGTAGTTTTAACCTGACCATCCAGTAGTTTTAACCTGACCATCCAGTAGTTTTAACCTGACCATCCAGTAGTTTTAACCTGACCATTCAGTAGTTTTAACCTGACCTTTCCAGTAGTTTTAACCTGACATCCAGTAGTTTTAACCTGCCCCATCCAGTAGTTTTAACCTGACCATTCAGTAGTTTTAATCTGATCATTCAGTAGTTTTAACCTGACCATCCAGTAGTTTTAACCTGACCATCCAGTAGTTTTAACCTGACCATTCAGTAGTTTTAACCTGACCATCCAGTAGTTTTAACCTGACCATCCAGTAGTTTTAACCTGACCATTCAGTAGTTTTAACCTGACCATTCAGTAGTTTTAATCTGATCATTCAGTAGTTTTAACCTGACCATCCAGTAGTTTTAACCTGACCATCCAGTAGTTTTAACCTGACCATCCAGTAGTTTTAACCTGACCGTTCAGTAGTTTTAATCTGATCATTCAGTAGTTTTAGCCTGACCATTCAGTAGTTTTAACCTGACCATTCAGTAGTTTTAACCTGACCATCCAGTAGTTTTAGCCTGACCATTCAGTAGTTTTAACCTGACCATTCAGTAGTTTTAACCTGACCATTCAGTAGTTTTAACTTTCCATCCGTAGTCACTTTAACTAAAATTATGTTAACAATGATATATGTATTACCAAGTAACAGAATGTATTACCGTAGTGTTGACTCAAGTTGCAGAACACGCGACTGGCGCTGCTGCACCGGGACGCGACTGGTGCTGCTGCACCGGGACACGACTGGCGCTGCTGCACCGGGACACGACTGGTGCTGCTGCACCGGGACACGACTGGCGCTGCTGCACCGGGACACGACTGGTGCTGCTGCACCGGGACACGACTGGCGCTGCTGCACCGGGACACGACTGGCGCTGCTGCACCGGGACACGACTGGTGCTGCTGTACCGGGACACGACTGGCGCTGCTGCACCGGGACACGACTGGCGCTACTAGTACTGGACGCAACTGGCGCTGCTATTCCGGGACGCGGCTGGCGCTCCTACTCCGGGACGCGGCTAGCGCTCCTACTCCGGGACGCGACTGGCGCTCCTAATCCGGGACGCGGCTGGCGCTCCTACTCCGGGACGCGGCTGGCGCTCCTACTCCGGGACGCGGCTGGCGCTCCTACTCCGGGACGCGGCTGGTGCTCCTACTCCGGGACGCGGCTGGCTCTCCTACTCTGGGACGCGGCTGGCGCTCCTACTCCGGGTCACGACTTCAACGTTACTGAGACAACAATGTTCTCGTGAATACACATTACAGCACCGTCCAGGTGTGGCACTGACTTCTACTTCGCGTTGCCTCCCCTCACTAACTACCTTTATAGTTGACATACACACTCAGGCATCCTTGTATATCTACATGTAATTACCATTAGAAGAATATTACTATTAATACGTGCTATCCACAATTGTATGGATAATAATTGTGGAAGTTCGTGACATGCACAGGAAAACGAAGACGTTTTGTAACCATCATGGCGACAGACGAATCTGTGGAAAGTCTCACCTGGTGTGCACACCTGCGGGAAGCACCACAATTTCCGCCTAATAAGCGGAAAATGATTATTATTGCCACGTAACGGGTACAGAACCAAACCTTTATTCCCTCGAGTAATTTAAATCTTTTCAATTCCGAGTCATATATATATATATATATATATATATATATATATATATATATAAATGTGTGTGTGTGTGTGTGTGTATACTTGGATTATAAATGGAGAGGGGTCTCTGGGGTCAACGCCCCCGCGGCTCGGTCTGTGACCAGGTCTCGTGGTGTGTCAGGGTCTGATCAACCAGGCTGTTAATGCTGGCCGCACATATATATATATATATATATATATATAATATATATATATATTATATATATATATATATATATATATATATATATTATATATATATATATATATATATATTTATTTATTTATTTATTTATTTATATATATATATATATATATATATATATATATATATATATATAATATATATATATATATATATATATATATTGTATGGTCCTGTGGGTTAGAGCATCAATAACAACACTGTGACTAGTCAAGGATTCGAACCCATGTTGTTTTGGCCCGCCTCACCATGAGGCGGGCCAAAACAACATGGGTTCGAATAAACCATACCCCCGGCCGGGATTGAACCCGCGGTCATAGAGTCTCAAAACTCCAGCCCGTCGCGTTAGCCACTAGACCAGCTAGCCACAATAAGATTCATCCAACTAGCTGGTCTAGTGGCTAACGCGACGGGCTGGAGTTTTGAGACTCTATGACCGCGGGTTCAATCCCGCCGGGGGTATGGTTTATTTGCAATCGTGTCATTACGATTTCTTGAGTCATGTTGACGGCAGTGAAGGGACTTGAGCTAGAGTTCGTCACGGCCACGCTAGCTGGAGATTCGTCTGTAAAAACTTGCATTTGTGGTCACAGAGGTGCCTGTGCTAACTTTCCTATGGTGTAGAAATATACCTAGTTGGATGAATCTTATTGTGGCTAGCGTCTAGTGGCTAACGCGACGGGCTGGAGTTTTGAGACTCTATGACCGCGGGTTCAATCCCGGCCGGGGGTATGGTTTATTTGCAATCGTGTCATTACGATTTCTTGAGTCATGGGTTCGAATCCTTGGCTAGTCGCAGTGTTTGTTATTGATCAATAACACTCGTTCGTAGGTACAATTATATATATATATATATATATATATATATATATATATATAATATATATATATATATATATATCACATGGGTAGTCTCTCACTGAGGCAGGGGGACCAAAACAAGAAAGAATCACTTTCATCATCACTCACTCCATCACTGTCTTGCCAGAGGCTCGGTCGTCTTAGTATATGAAGTATAGTTCCGGGTATTCTGAATATAAGGAGGTTTCAAACCCTCCCTGTCACCTTTCGTGTTTATGTGACAGAAAGAATTACCAGTCCTGCCAGAGTGCAAATCTACTGGCAATTCAATCCTACCAGACCGCGGGTTGCGGGTTGTGGGCTGAACGTGGCATTGTTTAATGCAAGAAAGGACGTTAAGAAGATAAGATAAGATAAGATTTCGTTCGGATTTTTAACCCCGGAGGGTTAGCCACCCAGGATAACCCAAGAAAGTCAGTGCGTCATCGAGGACTGTCTAACTTATTTCCATTGTGGTCCTTAATCTTGTCCCCCAGGATGCGACCCACACCAGTCGACTAACACCCAGGTACCTATTTGCTGCTAGGTGAACAGGACAACAGGTGTAAGGAAACGTGTCGAAATGTTTCCACCCGCCGGGAATCGAACCCTGGCCCTCCGTGTGTGAAGCGGGAGCTTTAGCCACCAGGCCACCGGGCCACGTTGCATAAATTTCCATGTCTTCTTGTAGGTATTGTTTGCTATTGATACACAACTTGTCAGACGCGGCAGCATCATGGAATCTTGATACAGTGGAGATCTCCACAACGTAATTACTGGTCGAACTCCTGCGTATAAGTTACTCCCACTGGGGTACCACTGTAACTCGTTCACGTATCAGAACTTTACATTCCAGTCTCTGGCCCCATTATGTGTCTCTGTAATCTTTTGACTACCTCCCATACCATGATTATGGTGTGCATAATGAGGATATTAAATTAAAAACTTGGTGAATCCCGCCTTCCAGTTCAGTACCTTCGTCTGTTACACCTCCCTCATCTGACGCCATTATGTATCTCTGTAATGTTGAGGTACAGTCCCTGGATCCATTATGTACCTCTGTAATGTTGAGGTACAGTCCCTGGATCCATTATGTACCTCTGTAATGTTAAGGTGCAGTCTCTGGATCCATTATGTACCTCTGTAATGTTGAGGTACAGTCCCTGGACCCATTATGTACCTCTGTAATGTTAAGGTACAGTCCCTGGATCCATTATGTACCTCTGTAATGTTGAGGTACAGTCCCTAGATCCATTATGTACCTCTGTAATGTTGAGGTACAGTTCCTGGATCCATTATGTACCTCTGTAATGTTAAGGTACAGTCCCTGGATCCATTATGTACCTCTGTAATGTTGAGGTACAGTCCCTGGATCCATTATGTACCTCTGTAATGTTGAGGTACAGTCCCTGGATCCATTATGTACCTCTGTAATGTTGAGGTACAGTCCCTGGATCCATTATGTACCTCTGTAATGTTGAGGTACAGTTCCTGGACCCATTATGTACCACTGTAATGTTGAGGTATATTCCCTGGGCCCACTATGTACCTCTGTGCTGTGTCCTCTTCTTGGACTCAATGTTAATAATTAATAATTAATGTTGTTTATATATATTTTCCTCTTCACTTAGTACTATATTACTGGTTGTGCTTTATACTGTTATCTGTCCGTATATCTCCCTACGACAGTTAAAGACTGGGCAGGCAATGCAAAATACCCCCAGTTAAAAGTAGGGGGGCATTGGTACACTAAGAGAAAACACCGTAAGTGTCCGGGGCCCAAGACTGTTCAGCAGCCTCCCACCAAGCATAAGGGGAATTACCAATAAACCTCCGGTTGCCTTCAAGAGGGAGCTGGACAGATACCTAAAGTCAGTGCCGGATCAGCCGGGCTGTGGTTCGTACGTTGGACTACTTGTGGCCAGCAGTAACAGCCTGGTTGATCAGGCCCCGATCCACCGGGTGGCCTGATCGTGGACCGGGCCGCGGGGGCTTTGATCCCCGGAATAACCTCCAGGTAGACTCCAGGTATATTGTTAGCTATGTGGATAGGTAGGATGTTTAAGTTATAGGCGCTTCACTGTGAGTAACAACATGGCTATCGTTAATTTATTAGTGTCTGGTGGTCCCTCTCACCACCAATAAAGTCAAGAGGTATTATAAGGTCTTGGAGATGTGGCCTCAAGTCAGTCTTAGCCTTCATAGAGCCAAGGGAAGATATCACCTGGTGGTTAACGCTCTCGCTTCACACGGTGAGGGTCTGGGTTTCGATTCCCAGCCAGAGTAGAAACATTGGACGTGTTTCTTTCCACCTGTTGTCTATGTTCCCCATCAGTAAAATGGGTACCTGGGTGTTAGTCGACTGGTGTGGGTCGCATCCTGGGACACTGACCTAAGGAGGCCTGGTCACAGACCGGGCCGCGGGGGCGTTGACCCCCGGAACTCCCTCCAGGTAAACTCCAGGTAAACTTATCTGACACTGGTTTCGTGAGTGCTCTGAAACCATATACTGGTGACACTGAGATTCCGCCGAGAATGGTTATTCTCTTGTTTAGAGATTGTGAAAGAGGTTGCGTGTTTTTTGACTCTCTAGCACGTTAAGAGACCATACAATAGGGTGTCAGGGGCCCGAGACTGTTCAACTGCCTCCCAGCACACATAAGGGGGATTACCAACAGACCCCTGGCAGTCTTCAAGCTGGCACTGGACAAGCACCTAAAGTCAGTTCCTGATCAGCCGGGCTGTGGCTCGTACGTTGGTTTGCGTGCAGCCAGCAGCAACAGCCTGGTTGATCAGGCGCTGATCCACCAGGAGGCCTGGTCACAGACCGGGCCGCGGGGGCGTTGACCCCCGAAACTCTCTCCAGGTAAACTCCAGGTAAACACTCTAGTAACGTCTAGTTAGATCAAAGTGTCAGACAAAGTTTGGATCCCATTGCGGTGCAGTATCTAGACACCGTTGTAATCAGTAATCGTATTTGGCTGGAATCTGTTTATGGTTTAGAGCAGTTATTCAACCCTTATAGAGGATCTGTTATTATTATTATAACCAAGGGGGAGCACTAAACCCGTAGGTTTATGCAGCGCCTGTGGGGGGGGGGATGTGGAAGGTATTCAGGCTAAATTCAAGGAACTGGAGCACAGATCCAATTCCTTAGATCAAGAGCCCCTCACCAGCATCAAGGAGATGAGTAGATAACGATACCAACCTGGTATGGTCGGTATCGTTATCTTCTCATCTCTGACTCACAGTGATAAGAGATAAGATAAGATTTCGTTCGGATTTTTAACCCCGGAGGGTTAGCCACCCAGGATAACCCAAGAAAGTCAGTGCGTCATCGAGGACTGTCTAACTTATTTCCATTGGGGTCCTTAATCTTGTCCCCCAGGATGCGACCCACACCAGTCGACTAACACCCAGGTACCTATTTGCTGCTAGGTGAACAGGACAATAGGTGTAAGGAAACGTGTCGAAATGTTTCCACCCGCCGGGAATCGAACCCGGGCCCTCC